GGAATAAAGCTGACTCAAACCGGCCGAAGACCCGCTTAAGCAAGCCGACATTCTTTACAGCTGCGTTGGACACCTTGGTGCAGTTGTGTGAGCAGCTTAAGTTTTCTTGAATGATGATACCCAGGTCCTTCTCACTTGTGGCGTGTGGCAGTTGTTTGTTTCCGAGGAAATATGAAAATCTCCCCCTGTACCGTAAGGATAGAACCTTGCATTTTGGCACATTGAATTCTATATCGTTCATAAGGAACCATAGATGAGCTGCATTCAGCGTTTCTTGGAGTGCCAGTGAGCTCGTTGGTTTAAACCTCCAAACTGATTCCGCTAACAAATCATTGACCTTTACTACTACCGGACGTTGGATCAGTGTACATCACCTGTACCGTTTTTACTATTCCACACTAGACCCAAAAATCAGTGAACTACAACTGGATATTGTACGGTAAATTTCGTGGTGTTGATGAATCCAAATCAGGTCGAAACAGCTGTCCAGTACTTACTGGTTTTTCAATTCACCTGTCGTTTGCGCTCTGTACATGACGAACTTAACCATAATACAATAAAGTCCAGCGTCGTGCTGCTCTCCTGCAGCAATCGGATACCCCCATTTCATCGCCAGTTTGGCAACAGTGAAGTTTGTCCAGATCTTGATCTAAGTAAACCACTTGATTCAGACAACCTGCTCGGAACAAATTTTCACGTGAAACCGTCTATTATCTTTCCTTCTTACTTTTTGAAGCTACCCTTGCTGTTGGCAAGACGCCTCAAATTTCTTTTGCTAACTGAGGGCAAAAAGGGGCGATCGTTCGGAGCCAAACAACTTTGACCCGTTTGGGATCAGTTCTGTTGTGTTGAACTCCATGGAATCCCTAATCTTGGACTCGATGTATGTATGTATGATGAACAGGGATGAGTGGAAATCAGGTGAGATTGCCGTTACCGGAAAAGACTGAAATGAGCAGTTACCAGAGTGGGAAGTGAATGAGTGAAAGTTTATGAACGGAGGTTATGAGTGGATGGGAATGGTCTAAAAATAGGATGTGACGTGAAAAAATAACACAGATGCTGAGAGAGATGTGGCTATGGTTCGATGGCGACACACAACAAGCACGGTCAAATTCGAAGGGCCACACAGCCGAGGAAAAGACGCGAGAGCAGAACTAATCAGGTATCTTCTTCCGTCTATGTGTGGAATACGACGTTCGACCTGATCTGTTTGATGAAAAGTGCACATTTAACGAGGTAAAAAGAACTTATTTGAGTCCAAGAGGAGATGCCAGCATCAGCATGTGCGTAAACCCCACACTGCCAGACGAAAGCGACAAGTTTTAATCTCAGCTAACTTCACTTCAAGTCGTTTGGATTGAACCATTGAAGCTGGACAATTCAGTAACAAGTTAAGCAAGAGGTGAACCAGTACGGACAGCGGGGGATACACCAACTAACATCAGAGAACAACAAACTACACAGTTTTTAAACACAACGAACAAACGTGGCAATTAGAAACAAAATGGAAGCCGAGATACTTGTATGCGTTATTTACAACTAAATGATAATGCATTCTATGTGGTTGGGTGAACATTCAACTATTAAAACCCTGTGGCTGTAAATTCAATCGAGACAACACTATGGGCAGTTCCAGACAATACCACACTACACAAAAATAATATCCAAACGTATTTGCCAGAGTGCGATGGACATACCGTTCAGAGCATGGTCATCGACTGACTTATTTCTGAGCGCGCTCCATCGCCGATCGGGATACCTCCATCAGTCAATTATTGTGATTTATTGCCTCGACATAATTATTTGTACATGAAGAGTGGAGTTATTATCGTTTTGGACTGGTCACTCATCCGACTTCATCCTCACAGATCAATTTGTCAATGGCACACTCAGGAAACACCAGATTTGGGTTTCGCCCATAGTAGACTTGAATAATGGTGCAATTATCCATCGTTTATTGATTTGAGCTGACTATCCTTCGGATTTCACCGTCATGCACAATCCTCAGTTCATCGATTCAACCATATACTCGGAACCACTAGACTCGCGTTTCGCTCTCATTAGAGCTCATCAGTAGTGCATATCCACCGCACCACCCGGGATTTGAACGCCGGACCCATTGCCTGGAAGGCGTGTGCGTTACCACTGTGCCAACCAGCTCATGCCATGGCTGAACCAAATTGCCCATTCATGTTTTTCCAGATGTCGTCTTCAGTGGTAGTCAGTTTATTTGGCCCGACAGCAACGAAGGAAGACACAGATGACAATCCGTTAACTCCATTCGGAAGTCTCCTACCAAGTCAGGACTTCCAAGTAGGTATGCACTGATTCGCCAACGAACCACGATATTACTCACAAGTAACTGTGAGCCAAATGAGATATATTTATTCATCAACCTAACCTACGGGATTGTAACACAGGCACTCGTAAGAAAGAAATGTGTCATCAGAATGCCAGCTCACAGCGAGACGGATTCGAATCGCTAATGTACTTTTTCAGATATCGTGCCCAATGACAGTTAATCAGTTGCAGGTTCAACAATAACGGGAGGAGCAAAACGGGAGTCCAGTGCATCCCGAAGGAATGGTTGGCACATGAAGTCTGAAGGACGGTCAATCAAAACCCATAATCGATGCCTGATTGACAACAGAAAAAAACACGACGATGATTGTGCTATTGATTTTGATTTCGGACACGATATATATTAAGGTTCGGGACAAGAAAACGGGACATGTTTGCTGAGAACACACTTCCGAACACGGAATCAGGGACAATCGGCCCATGCGACTGGACTTTAACTGGACTCACTTTGGTAAGAATCAACTGCAGAGCGTCCTGACGTCTGCCAACACGCGTGAGCAGACACACAGTTTCTTGCACCAACCCGGCCCGTTCACACAAAGCCAATGCCTCTCTGAGTGGGTAGGCATCGGATGAGCGCAATAGGGGCAACAATTTGTCCCGATCAAACGATATGTACAATTGAATCAATCGGATCAGATGCGCGGTCACGTATTGTGGATTATGACGGTAAACATAGTCCAAATACTTGAGCAAAGGTGAATGGAGAACGCGGGAGGGGCGGGGAGAAGTTAGACAATATGAATCACAATCTACAGCCAACGGAGAAAACAATTATATACAGCCCAAGACGCGAACTGGAGTGTTGTGCACAAGGATGCACGAATCTGTAACCAAAGGAACTCGCAGGTTATCAGTTGTTCAACATGACAAAACAGGATTTTAATTCTAGAGAGAGTGACTGGATTTTCTTATTGGAACAGTAATATCGGTGATTTCAGAACAGGACAAGGTGTCTGAACAAGCTGCATATGATACAAATTGTCACCAATACGATTTAGTTATTTTTAACTTGATGACCACATGAATAGTCCAGCTTTTCGGCAAACAATAGTATAAAATTTTGTTGGTCCTTTCACACTGAAATTTTTCACACGGACTATAAGATGGTAGTATTGTGATCGGTCAATTTATGCGATCCATGACTTTCTCGCCCAATCCCCTCCACAGAGCAGATACCACATTCCTTTCTTATCAATCAATACATGTGTAAATACTGACAAAAATATTGAATACGAAGTAATTAGGCGAAAAAATATTCCATTCAAGTTATATTCAGCCTAAGATTCTGCTGTGTGCACCAATGGGCTGCCGCATTTTTCCAAAGATTGACTCGGGATAAAACAATATTTTGAAATACAAATTCTGATAAGTTTATCCAGGAAAATTTCTAAAAGAGTATCTATCTGAGGCTTTATAACTCATCCATGAGAAAATATTTGACAGTTGATGCAGTTTAAATGCCTTTTTATTTTCTACCCCCGTGTCAAATCTGTTAACCGATTCAGTCACTTTTTACTGTGTCTCATCCACTTTCCCTCCAAGTGAATTCTCCCACCGAATTCATGTTTGTCACGACACTCAGTCATCATCCGAATCACGTATCAGAACAAGAACTTTAGGGGATAGTGGGATTTTGTACAAATTGGGCCAGCAGCTCAGAGGTGATGCACAGCCTCAAAGATGCGAAACATTTTGAGTGCTGTATTAGTTCAGTTCACTTGGTGTTGAACGACAGATGAGGTCGATAATGAAGCCATCTGATGTATTGTGGTGAACTGAACCCTAGGGCAAGGGATCGCATTTCGGTCAGAGCGAATCGGTTGTAATCTTATAAATGTCAAGAGAAGCACGGTCAGTCGAAACGGATCGAAGCGATTTATCAAGTAGAAATAATGAGCAGAATTGAAAGCGAAGCTATTGTGTGTGTGTGTGTATGTGTGTGATTTTACGCACCGGATCGAATACGACCTCGTGCACTTTGTGGTGCTATTTTCCCCCCTTCGATATGTTCATTTGAAAGCAATGCGTTTCTAACAAGTAGAACGAGAAGAACAGAGAATTGGGTATAGACAGTCTATTTGGGATCACAACTAACCAGGAGACTCGATCACATGGGTCGCGTTAGGCTCCATGGATGGGGACCTCGGGATGATTGTAACCGATGGTTAGACACACTGAGTGACATAGCTGTGTCGCAAACAATGGCTTTTGTGCATCTTGTCAATTTCCTTGCAACATTAGTCCACTGAACTTCTCCATTTTCTATTCGACTCCACTGTCAACTGCTCCATCCAAATGGGCAGCTAAAAGATAGCAACCAAAACCGATGCATGAAACTGTGTAGTTATTGATAGTACAAACTGAAACTTGGGATCACAAGCTAAAGACTGAATGTCGATCAGAAATGAGGTCTGTGGTGTCAAAACAGGACTTTGTAATCACGCGAAATAGGAATCGCTTGGTTCGATGGCAATCGACAAATTCACCGTTGAGAACAACAACGGCCCGAATTGGATCACAGAAAGAGATTAGGTGCTGCACTAGACTTACCCGGTACAATAGGATAGGTGTGGATTCCAACTGTGTTACCACGTGATCGACCTGCGCGGAGTGTTGGGAAAAATGGATTCACTGTGGAGCTGTTGGCACGGCGGCGTAAGCAACAAGTGATATATATATATATATATATATATATATATATATTTAACGATGACAAGACTCTTGCAAATAAGCCAAACATTGACAACGGAAACTTGGAAAAATAATTCAACTACAGAAACTTGAAACTTTACGCAAAAGTTTACTCTATTTTCTCATGAGCGCAGTTAGAAACATTTTGACAATATATCAGAATCGAAATTTATTGCCAAGGTTAGTAAAATCCAACTGCAAATCGAAATATAATTGATTGATTGCATGCATTGCCAATTCATATCTTTACTGTTTCAGCTTCACAAACTCGTCCTATTTCACCGCTGACTCGTTGTCGGGAGGCTAATTTACTATTCACTTTCGGTTCGAATTCCTCGGGTGATGCTCTCTCTCTCTGTGATCCCGCTGAATTAGCCGTCTTCGCATATGTGAAATCGATAAATTTCGAAAGCTAAATCAAGCTAACAATAAAACGACAAAAAATCGGCTAGTCCTCAGTTTCGACTGAATAGCCACATTCACGTTTGTTCTCTCATAGAAAAAAGGATATTTGTTATGCCAGTACTTTGCTTCAGGTTCGGGTTGGAATACACTGAATGGGATGGACAGACGAACAAAAGCATACACACAGCGAGAACAAGTACTAAAATTTGCCACCTGAGTTGGCGAGATGAAGCGTTCGCAAGTCACTAGTGAGGAGCAACAAGCAAACGTGAAAATCAAGCTAATCAGCACTGTCTGTGTGTGTTGATGCTTGTGTCAATGAGGTGCATTCTGTAAGTGGAACGAGTATAGATAGCTTGTCAAACAGGAGAGGTCACTTTAGAGTGAAACGCTCAGATATAACTGGTCAGCAGTCCTTGAATATGAGGATGTGCAGGACCGTCTGATTCCAGATGGACAGAATATAGCGTGGTTCAGGTGAAAAAATTAGCTATCTACAAGACAACCAGGACTCGTCATGACCACGGAAGTAAGCCTGTAATGATTCAATTGTTTTGCCATGTATCTCTCAAATAACATTACTTGGTTAAATAATTTATATTCACAGCAAACTAATCAATAGAGGCAAGTCGGATACAGAGGTGCGTGAAGTAAAATAAACGGATACCGTTATTACCTGTGCATCATTGGGATAACTAGATCAGCGATAAGAGCCATTGGTCTTGGATGCCCACTATCATTGATTGAATTCAACATATATTTATTACCATTATTATTTTTTAATAGGCGCCTTTAGTTTTCTTATTACACATCTAAGCGTGATGATCAGTAGACGGGGCGAACCTCATAGTCACGAGGACCCACTGTTTAGTGGTGGAAACCGGTAACCTAGGCCCGCGGGACTTGGAGTGGCGAACCACACAAGACCCGGCTAGGTTAGGCGTGATATTGAACCGGACGATGCGCAACGTTCGGCAATTAGGACAGGGCATAGGCGAAATTTTCTCCGCTACGCAACTTAGTGCAATAGCAATATATATATATATATATGTCTTATAAGGGAGTTAGATTGGGGATTTCAAACAAATTACGGTGCATTCTCGGCACTGAATTCGATTCAATGCCAATTGCCCTCATATATTCTGTCAAGGACCATGTGAGTCTTTCAGACCTCGCCTTGTAAGTGGGAAACGAGATTGAGACACACTTTCCTAATTCACAACTTATCCAACTGAATGTTTCTTTCAATCGAACCTAATGTCTATAAACAAAGCGTTGTAGAGGCATTCGCATGACGTGCATCAGCCACAACAGTTGGTACCGTGAAATGATCTTACTCCAGGGAGCACTATCTACCATGACCATCCGTTGACTGTCCTCACTGTGGCTCATGCGATGTTCCCATAATACGCGGACGATGCTGTGCAAACAAAGGCTGTCGTTTATTGCCATCTACTCAGAGAGACCAAGATTAGAAACTGTGAAGGAAACACAGTGGGTACCGCCGCACTGTACACATCGGCATCAGAGATGTCAATCATTAACAAAGACCGATCTTTACTTCATTACGCGTTGGGAAGTCCTCGCAAACTGGATGAACCCCAGAGTCTAAATGCCTAGCATCTGGTTTGGACAACCGGCGATCCAAGGCGTTTCAACTAGGAATGAACCACATGCATACCTTTCGGTACAACAGTGGAGTATTGAAATGCGATGCAAAACGATTGCAATCGCTGAACAGGTATTGGAGTGACGAGCATCCGTTCGCAGGTCATCAACGGGGCTAGATACCAGAACCGATTAAAGCAGAGCCATGTAACCAGGGAACTGTTGAGTATTCTATGATTGGAACCAATAATAGAGAACAGTGGTTCAGGGAGGCCGAAAAAATACTGAGTTCTACGAGAAATTCGCTCAAAGCAACAAATCCATCTTGGGAGCAAGAAGAAACCTTATGGCCTCGGTGTCAACGCTTTTAAGGGGCAGTATGTGGATGAATAATGCACTGTGTGAACAACCTGGTATTTAGCACGAACCGCGTCAAATATGCTTATATGAACTCAAAGGTTAGAACCAATCGAGAGTTATCCCAAGAAGTGAACATTAAAAAGCGCGACCTTGACTGGAAACGAGAAGCCATACAGTTACGTTTTGCTTCATAATTTGAAATCCAAAAATCGAATTATTATAAATCAAAGACACGAAAGTAAAGTTTTGTCTGATAAGCACAGATAAACACGGATCACGAAACGACAGCAAGTTCGCAAGGGTGAAACCGACTGAACCACGTACCGTAACGACATCGATATGATCCAACAGGACCGGTAACGCACGAGTGTGACTGAGTTCCATGAAGAACGCCACCCGATCGCGAAGCACTTCGATCAGTCGTGAGTCTCGTGCNTCGAGCGGATACCGGTCAAACACATCAAACACACGTGGGTCACGCAACTGTACCAGAATGTCCATAGCTCGCTCGTGTGAACCGACTTGTTGGTAGAGCAGGGCGAGACCTTGCCATAGACTTTTCAATCCTGGTTCCAGCACGGTCAGTTCGCTTATGCCTGGTGTAGGTTAGGCACGAAGAAGAATCGTAAAACAAAAAAGTAAAGGTCTGTGAAACAACCCAGACAACGATAATTGACGACCATGAGAGGGAGAGAGTATCACACTGGAAAAAGCAAGCAGAGTGAACGGAATTCGAACAAGTTATAATTCTGAAACTATTTTCGTCATTCAGCTATTGTCAACAATAAAAAAACACATCAATCGTGTGCTGAAAAAAAACACGTAACAAGGGTCGTCTCAAGGGCAGAAATCGAGTAGTTAAACTTCGTTGAATTCATTTTTGCAACCACTAATTTACAATGCAATGCTGTTATAGATCACTATCAGTTAGATGATACCAAAGTGCATAATTGATCATTAAGAGGAAACACTTGTGACCCATGCATGCCTGACGAGAGATATACAGAATTAGGGAAATGAAGTGATGATAATAAGATACAAACACACGCCGTCCGGCGAGTTACACAATCCGAATAGCGCCACAGATAAATGATGATAGAANAGAAAGTGCATAAAATGGCCTATCTGAGTGCAAAAGATTCGATATTCACCTGAAGGCAGGTCTTTCCCGGAAAGCCAGTGCTTTCGGAAAAAGTGGTCGATCATAGAAACAAAATGACGTGTAGATATCACTGCCACACACGCTATTTGTCATCAACTGCACACGTTTTTTTTCTCTCTCAGAATAAATAAATACTTTCACGAGGGATCTGCTAACCATAGAGTGATGAAGACACAAGGATGCGTAAGCATTGGGATTCCAGCATCGGGGTTTCTGACAATGAAAAACTCAGGCATTTATCGACACATGTGGGTTCCTACTGTTGTGAAGTATTACTCAGATCTGTGAGTAGTAAGCAAAAGGATAGGGTTGGCGGTTTCTTTCAACGGTCAAAAATGAACAAGACCTGTTGGAGCGAATTGCTGTGTTCACTATGGTAACTACAAGAATGCGCATCTACTAGTGGACCGTTCCATTAACTATCTTGGGTACTTGTGGGAATTCTGAAGACTCATTCCAAATGAGACATTTTGTTGTACGTATGCTAATTTACCGATAACCGTTATTCATAAAAAAGAACTATCCTCGTCCCGGCACCGTCTTGTGGATTTATAAAGATACTATTACCTTGGCATATGTAACAGCGGCGGGGGGGGGGGACCGGATGCGTTTCATGTATTTGAACTATGGGTTTAGTTAGCTGTATAGACGTTATCCGATAGGGGGGAAAACGTTCTCACGATGCTGAACCTGGACGATTGATCTTAGCCCGGAGAATGCTCACTTTCACAAATTAGTAAGGGTAATAAGGGAGGTTGTCACGAAGCGACTTTAAACATTGGATGAAGGATATAAGTCACCTGGTGGAGTATGAAACCAAATAAAGGGCATAAGTTGAATGAAGACGCCCCTGGTCGAAAACGGATCTTCAGTAATTCGGTTCGTTGAGTGAGTCATTATTCCTCACCAAACGAGTATTATATAGGGTACAGTTCAAGTATAAAGATATTTGAACAGTGTTTAGTTCTTTCAGACCCTACAGAGTGGAGTGACCATGACGGAATTTCCGTTGTAGAATACCAGGTTGTAAGTGTTTAGGCGCATGACACCAGTAAAAAAATGCTTGACGCCTAGAAGGATTCATAGCTCCCTAAGCGCAATACATCATTCGTGTTAAACTTCCAGGTTGGTAACCTAGGGATGGTTAACGACACTGACTGACATAGCCGTATCGTAAACGGTGGAGATCGTGCTCCATCGCACATTTAGTCTACCTTGAGTACTGCTCCCAGCTTTATGTTTGGTCTATCTAATCCTTCATCAAAGGGGCAACCGAAAGACAGCAACCAAAACCGTCACACCAAAGTGTAAGGTTAGTGATTACTTATAACGATTTCTTGCTGGTCCACAAAGCTATAACCCTAGGACCCAATGCGGAGTTCGAATAAAGATCTCTGGTCCAGATAGTTCTCATGTGATTCTCTGTATCCGGCAACAAGTGCCTACCGAACTATACTTAACCGGGTACAGACGGTGGGTACTACTTCAGTGAATAGGGATGGTCAATGTGGTGGTAGATGTTCTCATGCCAGGCGACTTCTCTGGAACCCCTCAAAACCAAAAGCACTACGAAGGCACGCGAATCCGAGCGAAAAACAATATAAACACGTGGCAATCAACTACAGAAAGCAACAGTTTAGGCAAGAAGTAGAAGTGCATCCTGGAAGAAAAAAGACAGAATGATACGACGGATGCTACTTTCTTTAAAATCCTCAAGACTGTTCATCCATCCATCCATCAATTAATCAATCCATGATTTTAATGTGCGCGGAGTAGTCCCGGATTGCTCAGACCGGGGCAAGTGAATCGTTTTGGGAAATTTACAACCGGAGTCTTCGGCTGCTGCTCCTAGCATTCTGGAATGCTTGTTTCAAGATGTGCATGTGTGTGGTCCAAGCATAGCGAGAAGTTCTGCGTGGAATAACAGGGAGTTGATAACACGTGCTATTGGCGAATGATCTAATTCGCACTGGTCACAATATCACCACAGAGTATTTGTTTTTCGGCTTCCCAGGAGAGAGTGAAAGGAGTGCCACATATGGAAACAGCTGGTTCAGTGTGCCAAAAGCCCAGTATCAGTGTGTCTTCTGTGGATGACTCGGGAGCGTTCGACAGTGTCATCGGAAGACTCGTACGTTGCAATACACGTGGGGGAAATCCCAAGTCCCGTATGAGGCACAGGAGACGAAACACAAAGAAGATGCAGGGACCTCAGTGCAAAGTTTCAACAAAGGCTTCTACCTGTGTTCGTCAATTGCGGGAGACATTGGTACGGACAGTTCAACACAGATTGCACTCACCCAACACATCACTGTTCGTGACTATGTGGATCTTCGAATTAAAGCAAATTGCACAGCAGAATTGCTTTAGCCCGCTCAGTGTGTGTGTGGTTTAATGCCACCGCCGCGATTTCCGGTAAGAAAAAGAGGGGCGTACACCGACTCGGGGCTATGGTCATTGTGTAATCCACAAGTTATGCCGGCGTTCTTCTTATGCGTTGTCGTAAATAATAACGACGACCTTGTTATGATTAGTTGACGTTCAACGAAGACCCCGATTTCTATTTGGCTCGTGATTCAAAAACAACAGTGTCAAGGAGAATGTAATACAAGAGAGAGAGAGAGGTGGAAGAGATAGAAAAGAACCAGGCTACGCCCATCGAACGAAGCAAACGAGATACGCATTGAAACATGACTAGGGTAAATTAGCATCACCCTTTGCACATGTGCACACCGGTTCGAGGTACCACAGGTCAGACCAGTTTTCTATCTGTACCAATGATCCTTGCGCAACCAATCAGTCGGTCGGTCGAACCAACCACAAATGATCTGACCACGAGATAGCCGATGTCTGATACGATGCGCGATTGGAACGCGATGCATGTGGGTCGGTGCCGGACAAGGCGCGTTCTTATACCGTGTGGGCACAGAGAATAATCGATCGCAAGTGAATCAGAACCGGGAGGAAGATCAGAGAGAGATGAACAACTACAAACCATGACAGGTTGAAAGGACTTCAGAAAACCTTCAGGAAGGAGGAAAACCTTAGAGAGCAGATCATAAGCAGGAATATAACTGGAACTAATCAATTCAGTTTCAGTTTGTACAGCTAATAATCTTGCAAGAACCTGCCACGGGCAAAACTGAAGGAAATGGTTGGAACACAACCACGATAACGAGGCGGGGACCAGGATGAGAAGTAAGTAGACGCATGAGCGCTTTCGTGCACAACACTTCGGATGAATTGGTTCGAAGTATTCCATGGCAAAAATTGAACATATCCCAGATAAATAAATGGACAATCATTGCATTCTTACTCGATCCTTCTGTATATAGCAAAAAGCGATTCAGTGGTATGCCACCGAGAATCCATATACTTAAAATCCCTATTCACGATAGTGTAGGTTTGTGATGTATATGCATGATATAGGACTAACAGAGCTTCGAACGGACGTCCGTGTTATGCAAGTCTGAGTTGAATCAACTTACCGCACAATGCCACATGCCGTTCGATTCGGTCAATTAGGACGCGCATCAGACTGTCGTATGTGTCCAGCACGGACTGTTGGCACCATTGCGTCAATAGACTGAGAAATTGTATCGGATTGTGGTCCATTAGTTCAATTAGGACAGTTTCGTATACACTCTCGTCCAGTTTGATACGCGATGCGCCAGTTCCCGTCGGGATGTAGGGGACGATGGACTAAATCGAAGAAGAAACAGTATGCGGGAACGAAAAAAGCAAATGTCACACACTAAAATCATCACCACTACAAGACAGAGCACAATAACACTGGGTTATTTGACGAATTCTAGGGGTTGGGGTGGCAGTTACCCAAAACGTCGTTGTGGAGGAAAGTTAGGTGGCGGCCGTGGTGGTATGTGAGGCGATAAGTTGGTGACATGCGGCGAAGGAAT